TTATCACCAGTCGAGGGTTGAGTGGGTCACTCAACCCTGCATTGACGATGTCACCTCGATTGGTGATGAAAAGTTTGCAATCCAACTACCAAGCTCGGCGAACAGACCAACAACCAAGCAGCGCACCCGAGCTACCTACATTTCACAACATTGCCAATAGGATGGAGTCCATTTACCATCAGTATGCAGCAAGAAAAGGAAACAAGAAAACTGAATTTCGATACCAATATACGCACGTTTGAATCCCAAAGTGTTACAACAACTCAGCCATCAAAACTGGCTTTGATCAGTTAGAATATCTTTGCTTAAACGTTTTCGAAAGCCTTCAGCCAGTGTGCAGATAGCTTGAAGTGAGAGATTTGCCATGCGGTACAACGTCAATGGGGAAGTTGAAGTGCACAGGATAGACAAAAATACGTTCCCTGGGATCTTACAACTAGAGAAAAAACACGCTTATCTGACTGTACTCTCGCTAACTGGGCTACCAAGGATGTATGCCCCCGTCACATTTATGGTGTGGTTGATGCCCAACATTTGAAGAGCTGTTTGTTTGAAACGCTGCAGAACACGTAACGTGACCCTACATAAATGGGATCATTCTTTCGTGCCCTTGGAAGCTGCAAATCGATTTTAACAAGCGGTGTTTCATAGAGGCGCTCACCATATGACTCTCGTTATTTGACGAGAGTCGAAATTCTAAGCACGGGCCAAATCAATGTACATAATTTACCAAAACGTTTTCCTAAGCGGTGGCCTTCAGCGCTCTTCAATCATGTGTCTCCTTATTTCATTGATTTTCTCGAGGACAGCCTGCGTTTTGGAAGCTCATTGGCAGCAGGTTATGAAATTTACCTCGTGTTTTTATCATCCATTGAGGTATATGTGCGTACGCTTACCCAAATACAACTGCTGAGCCACTCAGTTGTTCTCCGTGAAAAATCAATTCAATTCAATTTTAAGATTTTCAAGTCTCATGAATTGGTCTTTTCAGCTACTGGGTACACGGCGTTACTTCGCCTCAGAAAAAACATTGAGAATTACGCTCCTTCCTAGACAAGAGTGTTGAATTGCGACATTTGTGAAGTCCAAGAAAACTCCACAATAACAAATGCTTCGCAAAACACTGTATTTGCTCGCTCCTGATCTTTGGATGCAAACGTCAAATGAAGGCCTTTTAAAAACGATGAACACGATGAAAATACCAGCGACGCCGCTGTTTCCGCCTTACTTGTGAGTGCACGGCGGCTTACTTAGACGGAAGTTATCCCAGTTTGGATTTGACCGTGCAAGACTGGTATCTGCTTCAGCCGTAGCCCATCGGTCTATTGAAGCTGAGGATTTGTGTCGATCGAGCACCTGGTTCCACATTGAACGCAAGGTTGTCGCAGGCTAATGAATCCATTATTGACTCAAGAACAAAATAAGAACTACGGAAAAGTAGAAAATCGGTCATTTAGAACCATCCCAAAAATTGTTTTGACATTCCGTAAGAAATGATCTTGCTTCGCTCTATTTGTACGATAATACCCCATAGTGTACACCTCATAAGTGACAGCAAAATACGCTCATTGAATCGCGTGCACGGTGTTCATATTTTGAAGGGGAAAGTAATTTCGGCATCCAGGAGCATCCACCTAATCGTGAAGATCTGGGTCAGAATGACGCTCAGTACATCCACATGATGCCCCCCCCCCGTTAACTGGTCAACAGGAGGTGCTTGCGGCCAAATTAGTCTAACTCGGGAAGGCCTCAGAAGATCGGTAGCTCTCTTGCATGAAACGGATTCCCATAAAACGCTTCACAGTGAAAAATCGCGGTCGACAATTCTGCAACAAGTTGATTTACAGGTGATAAGTTTGGCCTTGACAAGTGCACTATTTCCATACACGTGCTTTCGTCAGAACAACAGTTTTATCGGCCCTGTTACTCACTCAGCCGACCTAGGTCCTAACACGACAGGCGGATCAAACCACGTGTCGGATTTGGTGAGTCAAGCCACTGCCACACCAAAGTCGATATGCAGAATCGTCCGGCGGGAAACGATCAGAGTTCTTTGAAACCTGGCGTTCATAAGTGCATCGACCGTTAGCCCTGTTTCCATTTAGAGCTTAAATAAGTCCACAGCTTTCTCAATGTTACATATCTAACGCGAGTTTTTGCTAATTCCTCGATTTTTTCGTTCAATTTCCTCCATCCCTGAGCATTTGCTGAGCTTGATTCTCTCATAACCTAGAAGATTCGTCCACTTGCACAAAATTCTGTCGTCAATAGAATAAATGTTTCAATAGCACAAAAGTAACATTGGAAGGGTCCTGATGCTATCGGGTAGTGAATACGTTCCAGTGGAGTTCGTCCAATGACTAATAATCATACAGTCATGTTAGTGGGTCATAGATCTCAGCTAGGTTCCTTGAATCAGAAGAAGACGTAGGTCATGAAATAGTACACAAAAAACATCCATTCGGCATCTTTCGTTAATACGTAACTCAAATGCAGATCCTCCAAACCAACTGATCAACATGCTGATTCACGTTGATTCATGGCCTGCCCCGGGCAATCAGATCGTGCACTCTATCTCTAACCATTTGTATTGGGTTCTTGTAATATCGAATTTGATAAACGTTAATAATGTGAGGATCCAGACGTCAATTGGCTTCGACTTACCTTGAGGAGTAGAGGGCTTCGTTCGGCTGAGTATTCTCAGTCCGCGAAATCAACACAAATCGCGTTGGACCATTACGAATCGCCACTGTACTAATGGCCGCAACGAATGAAACTACACACACCATATTTATGCACAAGTCCGATTCAGTCTAAATATTTGATAAATTCAGCGAGAAAGCTATGGTAGATTCCATTAACGAAGTCGTATTTACAGGACAGATTACATGGAGGAAAATGGTTCAAATGTGAATGGTGAAAACGCCTGTCAACTAATCAATCAGAATCCCACATCAAAGCTGGTCGGCCAATAAGAAAGCTACATGCAACACATATGACAGTCATTCAAGGTCGATAGAAAATTGAAATAGATGATGGGAACATCACAAAGCTTCGCGGATTACCAAAGACACCAAAAGCCGGGATTCTACGTAGAACAATCGTCTCACTAGCAGGAAATGCGAGACACAAGTTGTATCTATCGTCGAAGCAGTGAGGTAGAAAGTGCACTATTCCATACCGATAGACGGATGTTCAGCTGTAACATCATCTGAGCGCCTAGATGCCACAGCACTCGAAAGAAGGAAGCACGAGGGCACAGGTGCCGGCAGGTTGTCCAGTCTTCGATAGGAGAAGTCCAGACTCCGGGATGGGCGAAAAGGTGTTGGGGAATTCTGGATATGAATAACTGTTTTTATCGATGATTCTGATATCTGGGTCATATTTGAAAGATAATTACCTGTTCATTTTCAAGACATTCTCTGATTTATTCAAACCGTAATAGTAGAGTCTGTGACGAGGTCAACGGGCACGCAGATAACACACTATTTCTAAATGGCTCAATCTAATTTTGATGAAATCTAAAGCATGGTTTACCCCAAACATGCTAGCACCATCGCAGCGCATTCGACAAACCGTGATTCTAATCACTAATCAATAAATCTATCAAGCAAGCAATCAATCACTATTAATCAATCAACAATCAGTGGAAGATGGATAAAAAGTCTAAGAACGGCATTTACGTTGGTCTGCCAGTTTCCGAACGAGCTACTTGCACTTGGTATTGCGGTCTAATACCACGTGGATTCTGGACGGGTTGGGGCGCTCATTAGTCTATCCGTTGGGAAATGAAAAACCAGTATTTCGATTCACCCGACATGGTTAAGGGAATCAACCGCGGTCGCCATCGTCTACCAAACCTCGAAATATGCACCTTCGGTTTCTCCTCGTGTTCGGTGTTCTTCGAGAGTGCTATCAATATACAATTAACCGCCCTCATAGCACACGATTAAATTTAGCAACAACATTTTGAACGCTATGACAACAAGTCCCATTTGCGAGTTGACATTCCTCCCAAGGGATTCTTCATATTTTGTCGGTATGGTTAATTTGAATTGGCTCTTAGTAATACGGTGACGCGGAACATGACGTGATGACAACAAGTCCCATTTGCGAGTTGACATTCCTCCCAAGGGATTCTTCATATTTTGTCGGTATGGTTAATTTGAATTGGCTCTTAGTAATACGGTGACGCGGAACACCATCTGACGTTTACTTCGACTTCAGATCCTTCCCTCTCCTGTCGTTCAGCTTCGTTCACCTAATTTCAAGATGACACTAGCCGAGGGCTGTGACCGCCTCCAATGAGAACTACCGTCTAAAGGGGGTCGTTTCAGTGTATGCGCAGTGGAATAGTCCGGCATCTAGTTCATCTTTTGGTCTACAAGCCGCCTTGACCAGGAGCAGAGTGGCACTTAGTAGTTACAAAGTCACCGTCTCAATTTTGTCGACAGATTACATCGAATTTCCCAGACTGGGCTATCAGAGTACTTATCTGGCTTGTTGGAAGGTAAACAGTCCCATTTGCGCTACATTTATATCATTCAGCTGACATTAAACGTATCCCTATAACAAATAGCAACAAATTTGGTTCATGCTCGTTAGTCACAGTTTCAAAATTGTGAGGTCGGCCAAATTCCTGAGATAGCCTTTTGATGGTTGAATGAGATGTGGTCGAGTTTAGTAGTATTGTGCATATTTCATGGTGTTTTATGCATCCAGTTCTCCCCGTGAAAATAGCAGGGCAGCAGGAAGCGTTACAGAAATATGGAGTTAATCAAACTCTTTCACATAATGCGTTTGCCGTTTACAAGCAGTCGAAAACAAGGTAAGGACAAGACAAGCCAGCAACCCGGACAGCAAAACATAACAACGTCAGGAACTTTTATCCAACAAACTGTAAACAAACACCGGTACAATGTTTGTATAGAAAACCGGGCTAATTTGTCCCGACGTGGGATTAGGAAGAAATCTTGAAAAAGCAACAACCATATTAAAAAATGCACGCTGCCCCAGCGGCTTCAGCACGACAGAAAGAGAAACAGGATGACATTCTTGAAAACCCAGGTTCAATCAAATTGCCATGTGGAAGAATCCCGAATGACAGACAGGTAGAGCGGCGATTGCGTCAAATGCTTACCAGGAGCAAATTCAACACTGAAACTTTTGTAGTGGTCAACAATAAATGCGGACAGCAACAGAAACCAACCTACATGGACCCGACTATTTGATTGATTCCTTCTATATGTGATGGTCGCAAGTAAGCCAGAGGA